CCTCTCGTGAGTCCCCTGCCGGGAACTGGCCTGCAACCCAGGCATGTTCCCTGACTGGAAATCGAACTGCGATCCTCTGGTTCGCAGGCCCGCACCCAATCCACTGAGCTATACCAGCCAGGGCTATACACTTTACTTTTTAAAAGATTTTATTTATTTTGAGACAGAGGGGAAGGGAGGGAGAAGGAGAGGAAAAAAAACACCAGTGTATGGTTGCCTCTCATGTGCCCCCTACCTGGGGACCTGGGCCCTGACTGGGAATCGAACCAGCGACCCTTTGGTTCGCAGGCTGGCACTCTCAGCAAAGTCATCAGCTGAGAGTGAGCCACACCATCCAGGGCTGAATTTACATTTTAAATGAATGGATTTTATGGTATGTGGCTTCTATCTAAAAAACAAAACAAAACAAAACAAAAAAGGGAGGAGCCCTCTAGAATATACCTCAGATTTTTGGCCTGAGGTATGAAAAAGGGGAGCATTTATCTGCCAACTCCTACCCTCTCAGGCCCCCCTCTAATAAAGGGGGGCTCCATCTGGTGGGTCCTTCCAGACACGTCTCACAGTGGTGGGTGAGCACCTCTCGCAGGGCGGCAGTAGGCAGCAAGCCTGAGGTGGGAGTGGGGCCGGCAGAGGGCCCAGGAGCTGGGCCCTCAGGGAGCACTGAGGAGGCTGCTGTGACTGCTGTGGGCAGCGCCAGGGGGCAGCTGGGAAAAAAACAAAGTCGGGCCGACACCGTGCAGGGCCCTCCTGGGCACTGTAAGGACGCTGTGTCTAAGCTCCAGTAGGAGCCTTGGAGGGTGCGCAACGGAGAGCGACAGGGTCTAATGAGGCTTCTCTGGAGTCACTTTCCTCTCCTTGAAAACTGACTGAAGAGGGGTGAGGGCTGCCCCAGGAACCAGGAAGCCCCTGAAGGAATCCCAGGGAGGAAACCCGGGGCCGGCCTGTATGCAGTGGCAGCGGCGGGGAGGGTGTTCTCAGATTCAGACGGGGTTTGAAAGAAGAGCGAGCTGACAAGAGTCAAAGTGAGCGACAGAGAAACCTGCACAGATGCACGTTTCCGGCCTGTGCAGTTTAGGGTCTGACGGAGCCCGCACCATGATGGTGCAGAAGGCCGTGACTCAGGAAGGTCATCGGCGGGGGGTGGGGTATGTGTCTAAAGCAGGACCCGGGAGAGGCCCAGGGACTGAGCCTGAGAACCGGCCGCTGGGATTAGTGTTTGAGTAGGTCAGGCAGGGATGGGAAAGCAGGGATGGGAGGGCAGGAACTGAAGACAGTGAGACTAAACCCTTTGAGGAATTCCACTGCACAGATGAAGAGATGGAGCTCACTGGGAGGCTGGCAGCAAAGTTCCAGCCGAGGCAAAATCCATCTTGGGGAGAGAGGGCAGCAATGCTGGACAAGGTCGTCTGAGTAGAAGGGACCAGCACACAGCTGGAGAAGGCGGGTGTGCCAGTGTCTGTTTTCTCAGACAGGAGAGGTCATGAGCCGGGAGGGAGGAGGGGAAAGAGGTTTGGAAAGACAGCAGCAAAGTGGTGACCTGGGGTGGGGGGTGGGGGGCGGGGGTCAGGTATGACTGTGGGAGCAGGAAGGGCCCAGGGCCGGGGGGGCGGGGGGACCTGGGAGCGGGCTGCACACAGGTGTGAGGGAGGGGCAGCTGGACGTGACCAGGGCTGTGGCTGAGCAGAATACGAAGGGGAGGACAAAAGGTCGAGGGGGCACCCGAGGAAGTCACTGTAGAACGGGCTGTGGTACAGGGTAAGGAAAGACGCCGGGAAGGGGAGAGATAGTGGAAGAGTGGCGGGATGGATGGCTCACGGGTTCTGGTGGTGGCAAGGACTGCTGGTGCTGAGGAACAGAAGGAGTGACCTAGACGGGGAAGAGCAGGACTCTGTCTGGCTGTGATCCTGGACAAAGAGAAGGTCTGGGACTCGAAGGCCTGAAAATCCGTGAGACTGACCAAAAGCGAACTTCGGACAGGAAGGCATCTGGCAGGCTTCAAGAAACCCTCCCTGACAGTCGCCAGGATTGGGCCAGCCAGGCGAGGGCAGAGAGAGCTGCAGCCACCTGCCTTAGAGGCCTGGCTCACCCTGGTGTGTGTTCAGAGGAGGGCCCTGAGCGGAGGCGAGCGGTGGGCCCAGCAAAGTGACCGCCCTCTCTGACAGCCCCACCTCTGCTCCCCAGCTCTGGGCACCCTACCTGCTTCCTCCGTCCAGACTGTGAGAGCCTCCAAGGCTCACGGTCCATAAGCCGCACCATCTCAGCTTCCTCCTCCTGGGTCATGAAGTCCTCTATCAGAGTCACGCCAGGGAAGGGGAAGGCCCAGCCTTCAAAGTCAGACTCCTCGGCCCCCACAGCCCAGCCAGTGTCCGAGTAGTAAACAAAACGATGTGTTTTCTGGAAAAGAAAGACAGGGGTCCCAGAACCACTAGGGCCTGCCGTCTGGAGGCGATATCGGCAGCCGCCCCTGCCCAGTGGTTCATCCAGCCCTGATGCCACTTTGGAAGGCAGCTAGAGTCTAGAGAGAGGCCACACCCCTGCTCGGGGCTGACCCCTGGGGAAGGCTTTCGTTTCCCTCATCCATGAAAGGGAGGGGCATCTGCATAACCACTTTCTGTTCTCCACTTTACAGCTGAGGTGGCCAAGGCTCAGCAAAGATAAGGAATGAGCCAGAGGCTGTGCAGCTGGGTGAACAGCCTGCAGGCCCAGTTTCTGTCACTGTAGGGTGTCTTCTGTCCTCTGCCTTGTGAAAATTAGAGGAAGAGATGGGTGTAAAAACATCCAACTGGACCAGAAGTTTGAGAAACAGGCTAGCCCTAAAGCTGAGACCCCAGGGCTACCCAGGTTGTGAGCAGCACTTGCTGGAAGGCCAGAGGAAAGAGGCCCTCTCCAGTCCAGCTGGGGACATCTCTGGGCCAGCCCCTCCTGTGGCCGCCAGAGGCACTGCCGGAATCTCCCTTCAGAAAAGAGCAGAACTTGCTGCTCACTGGGAGGAGAGCTGGCGGAGGGTCTCCCGCTGCAGTACCACCAGGATCTGCCTCAGGCTTTGACTGGAGGCCATCTGCACCCCAGGCAGCTCCTGGCCAGTGACCCAGCATGGACCAGGCTGTTTCTGCCTGGTCTGGGACTCCTCTGGGGGCAGCGTTTGCTCGGCTCTGGTGCTCCCACTGGGTCGGCCATGGCTCTGTCAGACATACACGGCAGTCTGAGGTCCTCCCTGACCAATTAATTCTGCTTCTTCCCCCTTTGTGTTCCACTGGCACTGCTACCATCCCACCCCGGGACCACCGCGCCCTGTCTCTGGCACCTCACAAGGGACATGTTAAAAGTGGGGGTCATCCTGGACATTCTGCTCATCCCTCAGACATCAGACTGGGAAGGCACTACCCCTAGAGTGTCCTGTGTCTCTGTACCCACAGCCACAGTTCAGACTTTCAGCGCTTTTTACCAAAAGCGTTTGTGGTAAAATATATACAACGTAAAATTTACTGTCTTTAGTAATTGTTTCCGTATACAATTCAGTGTGTTAAGTACGTTCACTCTGTTGTGCAACCCACCTCCAAAACGTTCTTGCCCTGCAAAACCGAAGCTGTGTGCCCTTTAAACAACAACTCCCCTTCTTCCCTGCCCCCTGCCCCCTGCCCCTACCCAGGCCGCCACTGTCCTATTTCCTGTCTCTATGATGTTGGCTACTCCAGGTGGTATAAGTGGGGTCCAGTGGCATTTGTCCTTTTGTGACTGCCTTATCCGACTTAGCAAAATATTTCCAAGGTTCATCCACACTGTAGCATATATCGAAATGTCCTTTGCAAGACTGAATAATACTCTATTGTATGTACTGCTTTTGTTTACCCACTGATTCATCAGTGGACATGGGCTGCTTCCACCATGGGCATGCAAACATTTCTTCAAGACCCTGCTTTCAATTCTTTTGGATATATCCCCAGAACTGTTGGATCATATGGTAATTCTACTGTTATTTTTTTTGAGAAACCTCATACTGTTTCCCAGAGGATCTTCCACACTTTTACCAGGGACACTGCAACAGTTTCTTCACTGGCTTCCCAGCCTTCACACCTTCCTACCAGCTCCCCAGGACTGTTCTAGAATCCACATGTAATTTCCTTTAAAACCCTTCCCCAGCGCTCCATGCCTCCAGGACAAGTCCAGCCTGCCCAGTGGCCACACGCAGGGCCCTGAGGCATCACCCCCCTTCCAACCCCATGCCTCTGGCCCAGGCCTACACTCAAGCAGTTTCCCCTGCCGGAACGCCCTTTCAACCAATTAAATTCCTCCAGGCCCAGTTCAAAGGCTGAGTTATTTTTCGTTAATTAATTGTAATTAATTTCCTCCTTGCTCATTTCTGTCCAAGGCCTCTGGGCACTTTTGCCCTGGTTTCTCAGCACCCTCTACTCTTTCCACATCGTCTCCCCACATGCCCGAAAGGCTCTCAGGCCCAGACGGTGCGGGGTGGTGGTGGGGGGTGGATGTTGTTATGCAGAGGTTTGCTGTGAAGACTCCCCCCAGGTCCCAGAGATGAGCTGGGGTCGGACTGCACCCACGTCCAATCCCTTCTCCACTCCAAGCCCACTCCTCAAAGCCCGCTCTCCCCGCCCCCCCCCCCCCCCCGGGCAACGTCCTTATGGCGAGGGCCCCCCAACACGGTTTGATCCAGGACCGTATACATGGTTAGTCTGGGCCTCAGTTTCCTCATATGAAGAATAAAGTTGCGGGCGCGCCCCCTCACCCAGCCCTTACCTGTGGGGAGTGCTGCCAGGGTGGGTCACCTCCGCGTTGCCGCTCGCAGATTAGACAGGTCCTGATGCCCTTGCAGCCGCATTCGCGAAGGACCTCTGGGGCCGCCACCACCGCAGCCGCCATCGCTGTGTCCTGGCAGCCAGCGCGCAGGCGCGGGGTCGCGGGAACCAATGGGATTTGTAGTCCTCACGAGGTGCACGAGACCCGCGGGGCCACTTCCTTCCGGTCATCATCAGCGAGGGACCTGCGGGGCGCCACCTCTTGGGCTCCGCTAGTCGCGGGCGCCAGCGGCAGCCTCCGGGAGTTGCGGGCTCCGCAGGACGCTGGTGTCCCCCATAGGGCCAGCGCGGCGCGGCCGGGGCCTCCTCGCCATGGCTCCCCTTTCCGCGCGGCTGCTGATGGAGCGGGGGCGACCCAAGACCGACCGGCTGGGGAAGATCCGGAGCCTGGAGTAAGAGGCGGGCCGGGGCGACGAGGGAGAGGTTCGGGAGCGAGGCCGGGACCCTTGCCCAGCCGGGTCATCGCCCTGTCGGTTGGGCGGAGCCTCTAATCACTCGAGCCAAACGCCGTCCTCTCGTCAGGAGATGGGCAGCGTTGGCTCCGAGTGGTCTCACCCCTGAAGAGGGCCCGGGCTGCTAAGGACAGTCCTACAGAAAGAGAATTGAGCAGTCTGTTAAGATTACAGAGGGCCTGGGGAGCACAGAGAAGTTTCCCTCCAGAGGATCAGGAAGAGCATCCGGGAGAGGGCCTGCTGACTCGAGTACTAAAGTAGTTACAAGATTTTGAAAAGTAGGGTGTTGGGGAGAGGTGTGCATGCCCAAGAAATGCCAGGTGAAAAAGCCTTTGGAGGCACCCTGGGCTGCCGTATGTGGGAGGCCCGAGGCCTGCCTGCCCTTTGAGACTCCCCTCTGTCCCCACCCCAGCCTGTCAGGGCTGAAGCTGCTCTCAGAGCACTTGGACCCCAAGCTCCTTAGCCGTCTGAAGAAGCTGCAGGAGCTGGACCTCTCCAACAACCAGCTGGAGACACTACCTGCCAACCTGGGCCTGTCCCACCTGCGCATCCTCCGCTGCGCCAACAACCAGCTGGGGGACGTCACTGCCTTGTGCCAGTTTCCGCAGCTGGAGGAGCTCAGCCTGGAGGGCAACCCCTTCCTGACAGTAAGTGGGTTCGCCTAGCAGCCCCATTCCTGGGTCTGGCATTCTGTTGGGCTTGGGCTCTCAGCAACCCCAGAGGCATTTTCTCGTTCTCCAGGTCAGTGACAACCTGAAAGTCTCCTTTCTCCTGCCCAAGCTGCGTAAGGTCAATGGCAAAGATGCTTCCTCCACTTCCTCTCAGGTGGAGAATCTGAACCGGGAGCTGACCAGCAGGGTAAGGGGGCTGAGAGGTATCTCTGGGGCTTGGGAATAGTCAGGAGCCCTGAGGTGAGAGCAGCAGGCTGGGACACTTGGAGGACACTGAGGGAGGTAACAAGGGCCTCTTCCCTGACACCTAGTGGCCCTTAGCCTGACATGGTATTGCTCTGAGCCTGGTTGTGGTGCAAGGCCTCTGGTCACTGGGTGGTGTCCTGGCCTCCATGTGTGCAGGGCCCAGCAGGGGAGGCTGAGGCACTTTCATAGCAACTTTACCCGGGACAGTCCACCTTCTCCCATCTGGGGCTGTTGCCCGTGTGTGTGTTGCTCAGATCTGTGCCACATGCAGCTAAGAAGGCTGTGGTTTAGGGAGGCTTCTGGGAGGCAGTGAGGTTGAGGCACCTGTGGCCATGAGATTGGGGGCAGAGGAGCCATGGAAGGTTGACCTCCTGGGCCTGGATCTGGGCCCTCTTGTTCCAGGTCGCAGCTCACTGGGAGAAGTTCATGGCCTCACTGAGCCCTGAGGAGGCAGCTGAGAAGGCCCAGGAGGACTTTGTGAGGTCTGCCGTCAGGGATGTCCACTATGGGCCTGAGTCCCTCAGCGAGTTTACCCAGTGGCGGGTATGTCCTCACCTGACTGTACTGAGACTTTGTTTCCCCAGCTCCTTGCTGGCTCCCATGCCCTGAGCCGCCCTGGAGGTCTCTGCTCAGGAAAGGCACCACTGTTGGTTGGACAGGCCCTTTCTCAACTCAGGAAGCGCGAGCTCCCTCTAACTGGGTGTCTGAGGAGGGACTGAGGGGCCCCAGGACTGTACCCAGCTTCTTGATGGCCTGGCCCCACTCAGGTGCGGATGATCTCTGAGGAGCTGGTGGCATCTGGTGGGACCCAAATGCATGAGGCTGATATCCCGGAGAAGTCCCTAAAAGCCACAGCTGTCCAGGAGTCCAGGGTGAGTGTGGTTCTGTGTGGCTCCCAGGGCTCTGAGAGCCTGCCTTGGCTTTTCCCACCTAGGGAAGCTCCAGAGAAGCAGGGGGTCCTGGGAATGAGCCCAGGAGACAGCCTCCAATACCTGAGCTAATTCCCTCTGACCTGGGGCCAGTTCCTGCCTGCTACACCCCTGGGAGGGCACAGGTCAGCCTATGAGAGGAAGAAAGCAGCCCTGGGTAGATGGTCCCATGGTCACCAGCTCTCAGCCACCCCTTCCCCCACACAGGCCAGGCCTGTGTCCTCAAAACGGCTGGATGATGTCCCACTCGGCCTCTCCCCCAGCAAGCGGGTGTGCACCTCCCCACTGGCCCAGGCGGAGGGCTGCCCTGTGGGCTCTGGTGGCAGCCAGGTAAGCTCTAGCAAGGTGGCAGGGAGTGTGTGGCTGGGAGCGAGGGTTGGGGCAGGTGTGACCCCCTTCTGCCCCCACAGCCTGCCCCGAAGTTGGAGCCCCTGCATTTCCTCCAGTGCCACAGCAAGAACAACAGTCCTCAGGATCTGGAGACCCAACTCTGGGCCTGCGCCTTCGAGCCAGCCTGGAACGAGGGTACACCCTTGGGCAGGCAGAGCACGGGCCTCAGGGGACACACAGAACAAGCTTTCTAGACAGGCGTGCCCTGCGGCAGGGGGGTGGGGGCGGCCTGGGCGATAGGGAAATCAGGAGGGGCAGAGAGCTTAAAAATGTCTGGGCACCCTGACCAGTGTGGCTCAGTTGGGCGTCATCCCGCAAAGCGAAAAGGCCATGGGTTCACTTCCTGGTCAGGGCAGATGCCTGGGTTGTGGTTTCAATCCCCAGTCCGGGTGAGTGCCAGAGGTAGCCAATCAATGTTTCTCTCTCACGTCAATTTTTCTTTCCCTCTTTCTTCCTCCCTTCCTCTCTAAAAAGAAAAAAATCTTGAAAAAATAAAACATCATCAAGGCCAGGTGGAGGGCACTGCAGGGGGAAAGTTTACAGAAAGTGTTTTCATTAGGCTAACCCCCCACAACAGGGCACACGCGGGCCACGTCCCAGACCGTGGCCACGTGCGGCGGGGAGGCCGTGTGTGTGATAGACTGCCAGACGGGCATCGTGTTGCACAAGTACAAGGCACCTGGCGAGGTGAGTGCCGGGGCCCTGCTGCTGCAGGGCGGTGGGCAGAGTCCTGGGGGCAGGGGTGCCGCCTATTCTCCAGGTGACTTTTTTCTTTGAGGCTGGGCCTCAGTTTCCCCGATCTGATCCTGCACGCATGTGCACACTTGTAGTTCTGTCTCTTGGTGACTGCTCCGCCCCCTGCTCCCACAGGAGTTCTTCTCAGTGGCCTGGACAGCCCTGACCGTGGTCACACAGGCAGGCCACAAGAGGCGCTGGAGCATACTGGCGGCTGCAGGCCTGCGGGGCCAGGTCCGGCTGCTGCACGTGCGCGCTGGCTTCTGCTGCGGCGTCATCCGCGCCCACAAGAAGGCCATCGCCACCCTCTGCTTCAGCCCCACCCACGAGACCCACCTCTTCAGTAAGATCCTCTCCACACCCCCCCGGGGTCTTCCAGCACCCCTGTCCTGCAGCCTGACACCTCCATGCTCCCTCCCTGGGATGCTGGGGGACTACTGTGGCTGGCAGTCTCACTCTGGGCTGCCAGGGTTGGCTCCAGCCATGACAAATGCAGTGTGACTTTGTGGACGAATGACTGGGCTTCAGACCCTGGCTTTTCCCGCAACCCGCTCTGTGGCCTTGGAGCTTTCCGACAACCTGGGCCACTGTGTTCATGACCGGGGCTCACCCCCAGCCCTTTATTTGTGGTGAGGGTGATGTGTGAGCAGAGCCCTACAAAGGGTGGCTGCCGGGTGTGGCACTCATTAGGTTAGAGGAAGACAGCACCTGGGGCCATGGCCCTCCATCTCTGCTGGAGATGGGTTGGCTTTGGAGCCACGGTCCAGGCCTTTCACCAGGAAGCAGGGTCTCCTCAGAGCCACCTCTGTTCTCGTGTCTCTTCCTCAGCGGCCTCCTACGACAAGAGGATCATCCTCTGGGACATCGGGGTTCCTGACCAAGATTACAATTTCCAGGCGAGGTGATGATTTGGGCAGGGCTGGTGTAAGGAGGGCTGGCCACCAAGGGTGTGGACACCCAGTCCTGGCCTCATGCTCTCCCTTTCACCTGCTGGCAGCCCGCTGCTCACACTCGATACGACCTCCACCCCCCTGCGCCTCTGCCCTGTGGCCTCCTGTCCAGATGCCTATCTGCTGGCTGGCTGCGAGGGTGGCTGCTGCTGCTGGGATGTGCGGCTGGACCAGCCTCAAAAGAGGAGGTGAGGTGGATGGGGGTGCCTTGAAGGCCAAGCCTCAGAGCCAGGCAGCTGCCAGTCCAGATGTCTGACCTCAGGCCCACCTGCCAGAGGTGGTGCCAAAACCATGCACGCTGCCCTGACGGCCAGAGAGATTGTTTTCAGGGTCCTCTTCACAGAACTGGCCTGTCCTTACCTCCTGATAGCCTTTTGAGTAAAGGTCCCTGTGACCCATTCCTTCCCTAGTGTTTGGCTGTGGGATTTTAGCTGGGTCAGTTTCCTCTCTGAGGTGTGATCACCTCACTGTCAACCTGGGGCTTCAATGTGCCCATGTCCTGCCATGTACTAGCAATGTGACATTCCTGCCCTAGCATAATGCTCTCATATGTAGAGCCGGGAAAGTCACCTGCATGCCAGGGCCAGTGGAGGACAAAGGGGATGGTGTCTGGTCAGGGACAAGACCCCAGAAGGCCAGGTCGAGGCTCGTGGCTCTTCCATGCCATCTGGAAGGCCCGAGACAGCATGGGGTCCCCGCCCTCTCCGGGCCCAGAAGCCTAGTGGCAGAGACATGTTAAACTAATACTGCCAGTTAAAACCGCACAAAGTGTCACATCAGCTATGAAGGAAAGAGAATCCAGCACTTTGAAAGGGGTGCAGGAAGGCCAAGGGACTCTGAAGAGGTGACCAGTGGCAGATGGATAAGTTTGCAGGCTTGTGCTCTCCACATGAGCCCTGTGAGGGAGTCAGTTGGCTAGAAAGAGGGAAAGGTGCATCCACAAGGGGAACAGCATGTGCAAAGGGCCAGCGGTAGCAAGAACTGGCTGACCAGGGAGGTCTGGCTGTGGCTTGGTTTAAGACAAGGTGGAATGGTTGCTTGGGCCAGATGTACACTGGCTTTGTTGGCCATGGCACGATTCTGAATTTTCCTGAAGTACAGCAAATAGCCTAGGAAGAACTTTAGGACCAGGTGGCAGGCGTGACGTAGCTGCCACAGGCAGGGCAGTAGAAGCCCTGGCAGGCTCTGGCGGTCGTCCAGTCAAGTGTTGGTGGTGGCCCCGTGCCATTCCTGGGAGTCAAGCCCAGGCCTGTCTCCTTCCTCCCTGTCCACTCACATCTGCCTGGTGCCCAAGTCCTGTGGCATTTCTTTTCCACATTCTAGATGTGTCTGGTTCTCCTCAGTTACTACTTGGCTGCCTTCCTTGCTTTCAGGTGTCCTCTTGTTCTCTCTAGGACTCTGGGCAGCTGCTGGGTGGCCTTTTCAAGCAGTGTAACGCTACACACACTTTCAGCTTCGAAACACTCAGCAGCCACTCCCCACTGTCCTCAGGGTCACAGCCACCCCCTGCCCAGTTTCCCTTCTCAGGCCCCCAGCATTTGGCTAGAAATGCCTTCCCGCTTGTCTCCCAGTCCCAGAGGCACTGCCTCTCTCCAGAACCTGCCCTTGCTCCCCCCGCCCCCCGGAAGAACCAGCCCCTAATAATGTTTCTGAGCCTCCACCACCTGTGATGCAGTGTACTCAGTTGCTGGCTCCCACTTCTAGGGTGAAACTCAGTCCCTCCAGGGCCCAAAACAAATATCCTCAGTTGCATCTTGTGGCCTCCACATAGGGCAGGGCCCAGAGTAGACCAGTGAGTGGTTCTCATCGAATGAATGAGAAACTCTGTATATGTGAAGGTCAGTCAACCAGCATCTTCTGTGGCCCCACAGGGTGTGTGAAGTGGAGTTCATCTTCTCTGAGGGCTCAGAGGCATCTGGCCAGAGAGTGGACGGGCTGGCATTTGTGAATGAGGATGTCATAGGTGAGCAAGCCCTGCTCAGGGCAGTCTTGCCTCCTGGGACCCTGCTAAAGCCCCAACAAGGCCTTCATAGATTGCTTCTCCCTGGGCTAGGCTTTAGGTCCAAGAGTGTCTGGTGGGGGTTCCCCACCGTGGAACAGGAAATGCCTGGAGAGGCCCCCCCAGGCAGTTTTTTGTTCTCCCTCACAGCCTCCAAGGGGAGTAACCTGGGCACCATCTGCCTGTGGAGCTGGAGCCAGACGTGGCTGGGCCGGGACAGCCGGTCCCCAGTGCCGGTGGTGGTCCTGGCTCGGCTGCAGTGGTCACCCACAGAGTTGGCCTATTTCTCACTCAGCACCTGTCCTGGTAAGCCCACCTACACACTACCATGCCTCCCACCTCTTGGAGCTCCGCCCCACCTCAGATTGCAGTGTCTGTCCCCGCAGATGAGGGGACTGTGCTCTGTGGAGATGAAGAAGGCAGCGTGTGGATCTACGATGTCAGGCACATGCTGACCCAGCAGCCCCCACCGCCGGCAGCGCCACAGGCCCCCACACAGGTACAGCTCGGCCCTCTCCTCCTTGCGGGGGACTGGTGCAGCATGAGGGGCCTGGTATCCGGGAAGGAGCCCAGCCCCCCTCTCTGTTCCCACCAGATCCTGAAGTGGCCTCAGCCCCGAGCCCTCAACCAGACAGTGACCAAGACTATGGTGAACACGGTGGTGGCCAACCCCACCTTTACCTACCTCACGGCTCTGACGGACTCCAACATTGTAGCCATCTGGAAGAGACACTAGCCTCCAGCCACTGAGTGCCAGGGATACCACTTAACTTATTCAACTTTTGGGGAAAGGATGGGGATCTTCCTATGAGTGAATATTTTTATTAAATGCTCTACTATGGAAAAGAAGCCTGGGAGAGCTGTTTGGGGGCCCCATCTGGTGTTGCTGGCAGGAGTGAGTCAGGCTGCGCCGGTGCTGGGGCCTCCACGGTGGAGACTCACGGGAGTACAGGGGTTTGAGCAGTTCCCTTCTGTTCAAGCCCACCTTCCCTGCAGCCCCCCAGGTTCCCAATTGGTGCAGAATGCGTTTGTTCCTGCCATCCCTGCAGGCAGAAATCTGGATCTCCGGGCCAGTCCACTCTGCAGTGTGCCCCACAGAAGCCCTAAGATGGGTCAGCTACGTCCACTGAGCCTGACAGTCCATTTGCTGTAGAGTCACCTCTGCTTCAGCTCACATCTGGGTCTTTGCCAGCCACACTTTATTAGGAAGATAAAACAATCTATGTACAGGACACACCGGTGTCGGGGTGAGGGGCCCTCTGGGATAGCTCCAAAGAGGACCACAGCTGCCAGAGGCTGTGGTCTTCTACTTGGTGCTGAAAGGCAGGCCTGGTGCAGGGTAGGAACTGGCCAACCCAGACTGCTTCCAGCCCACTACTCGATTCCTTCTTGCTTATCTTTGATGGCCACCTGGGGGGAAGGAAAGACAGTGCACTTAGCTGGAGTGGCTGGGTAGGGTGTGGGAACTGAGCCCCAGGTCCTCCAGAAAACTGCCTCCAAGCCTCCACGGTGCAGCCACGAACTGGAAAGAAGCAGTATACCAGGCCCCAAACAGCTCCAGAGGGCTGGGCAGCCAGCGACCAGGGACTCTCTGGGCCGGCCTCACCTACCCCATCACTGCTCCATAGCGCACACTCTGCTGCCCAGGACTGGAGTCAGATGGAGCATAGGTGCCTCCTGGCGAGTATACGGCAAGCTGTGACGAATCTGAGAGACTGTGGGTCTTGCCTACTCTAAGTTGTTTAAACTTTGAGGCTCCCTGCCTGAACAGGTGCGACCCCATCCCAGGATGAGCTGCCCTCTAGATAGACAAACACCCTGGATACAGCCTGGCCTTGCAAACCCGAGCAGCCAGCACTTGAACACAGAGTTGGAGGAGCAGCGCTAAGAGGCAGGGGGCCCTGTGCTTCCATGGGGACCATGAGAGTGTGCGAGAAGACCCCAGAGCACTAGGCAAGGCCCCTACCCATGGATGCAGACAGCAGGCCCCAGGCCAAAACGCCATAACCTAACCCATGCTCCTTGGAGGCTATGGTGGAAGTCCCTGCTCTCTCATCACCTCTGTCCCTCCCCCAAATAAATCAGAGAAAACAACTCAGGTCGTCCTAAATGTGGGCGTGAGAACCCGAATCTCTGAGGTATACAGGGAGGTGTCCAGACCACCCCACCCCATGCCCGCACAGCTGGCTCCTCACCCGGAATCGCTCTTCCAGCAGGGAGAGCTCGCTAATGAGGTCTGTGATGGCATTGGTGAAGGCCTCCTGTGGGCTGTAGTCTGGCGTGGTCTGCACTCGGATGATGATCTTGTGCTCCAAGGGGTGGGGGACTTTGTAGCCAGCAAACAGCACCTGTGGGTCCTTCAGCAGCTGTCTGAGATACAGGAACAAGCCGTGTGAGTGGGCCCGCTGAGTGCCCGTGGAGCTTACCACGCCTTTTAGCCAAGGGGTCTTCCCATTGTCTCTAAGCAAATGCAGCTGGCAGCTGGCACCAGGTGGTTCCCTGCTCTTAATTTTTAGTTGTTACCACCCCCCACCTCCACCCCCACTGCAAAAACAAAACAAAAAAACCCACACAACCTTCAAGTAAAACAGGTATTTTGGAGAAGATATGCCATATGGGGACTCTTCCCATTCCAACCCCCCCCCAATCCACGAGGATCAAGACCCTTAGCTGGTAAAAAAGGTTTCCAATAACCTCTTCCCTTAGGGGAACTCAGGGATCCTGCAATGCCCCAAAAGAGACCTCTGTAGGCAGTAAAAATCTGGCCAATGTTCAGTAAACACAAAAGCCCCATTCCCAGCCCAAAGAGCATCTGGCATGGCAGATAAAGGGGGACGAGGCCCCAGGCTCTGAGCAGTCAGGGAAACGGAAATCCTTTAGGCAACACGGCCTGGCAGCTGCTGTCCACCCTGCGCATCCTGCTCTATTCGGCTGTGGTGAAGTGAAGCCAGTGTTGTTTGCTGGGCACACCGGGCTTTTCTCCTGAGCAGCTCAGACAGGCCTGAGCTCCCAGAGGGAAGGTCCGTTCATAGGTGGGGGCACAGCTCACACAGCAACAGAACAGCAGGGCCCCAAAAGAGCCTGGGTGCACACTGGCTTGGTTCAGGGTGGGAGTTATCCAAACCGGAGATGGGCAACACCACCCTTACACCAACTTACACCAGGAGACCAGGCAGGCCTCAGCCCAGTCTCCAACACACAAACCCAGGAAGAGCCCACTTCACTGACTATGCTTTTCAGCAGTGAAAAGGACAAGCCCCTGGGCCAGAGCATCCTGGCCACCTACCTGGCCGGGACTTCACTGGTGTAAACAGGCACCCACCAACCAAAGTCGGGTACCCACCAGGGGCACTGGAAAACCAACTTCAGGCCCCTTTTACCTCTTCCCCTTACTCTTCTCAGTTACAGTCTCTGGCATACACACGTTAGAATGCCAGGGGTTACTGAGGTAAATGCAGGGTGGGCGGGAGGTAACCTCGGCTACTTCTCTATGCGCACTAGCACAAAAACACAAGCAGGCTTACTTTTCTGGCTTCCTACATTCACTTACGTTAGATAAATTAGCCAATACAGAAATAAATTAAGGGAAGAGATATCAGTCAGTGCCATTTTCAACAAAAGGTAGTAGAATGAGTGCATTGCCAGAGCAAGTAACCAGAAGGATTTCATGCAGCTCAGAGACCCGTAAGAAAATCTTCTGGAATTTGTACTTTGCCTCAAAGAGCCCCATTAAACATAGCACTTGAAAGCCTTTGACTTGAAACTTACGATTTAATGATGTTTCCTAATGTATGATCTTCTTTGTTGATGGTGAACAAACAGGCATTGGGTACCTTGGTGTCCTTGTTAATGGTGATCCTAAGAGGCAGAAACAAGAGATTGGGGCGGGGGGGCAGGGGCAGAGGCTCCCCTCCTCCCTGAGTCTAAACCCTACCCTTTAAGGCAGGCTCAAGTCCCACCTACTCCTGGAAGCCTTTCTCAATCTTTTCATTCTGTAAAGGCCTCCCTGACTCAGCAGCAGTGTATCTATACCCTGACCCCAGTTTCTGGGGGGGTTGATTCTGTGGGACCCCCACCTACTTGGATTTCTCCTTTTTCCTAAAGCAGAGTTTCTCAGCCTTGGCACCAGTAACATTTTAGGCTGGCTAATTCCCTGACCTCTGCCCACTAGATGCCAGGAGCAACCCCTTTATGACAACCAAAACTGTCTGCGGATGTGGCCACAGTCCCCTGGAGGCAGGGGCCAGTTGAGAAGCACTGCTCTCAAGGGAGAATGAAGTGGCTGGCAAAGGGCTAGACCACAGCGCCCTGCATAACCAGTCTGTAAAGAGAAGTTTGCAAAGCCAATCTTTAACTGGGCCTTTAGGTGCTGAGCCCTGGACTAAGCACTTTACATAACTTACGTCCTTTAACCTCCATAGATTTACGTACTGTGATTTAATACAGCAATAAGCCCATTTTCCTGATGGGGAAAGAAGGCCTCAGGCAGATTAAGTCACAGGCCCAAAAAAAGAGTCCTTCAGTAAGGGGTGCAGGAGCCAAGTCCATGCTATCTGACCATTAGGCTGCATTTTCCTTCACCCTGCAAGCAATGAGGAGTCACTGAAGGTTTTACACAGGCGTTTGGAAGCTGGATATGAGTCTAAGAACCATCACTCTGATTGCAGCCAGTGAGGGAGGATAACGGTGGCGGGCCAGGAGACGAGTGAGAAGACTGCCAGACCCAAAGGAAAAGGCATTTGGAGCCACACATTCCGGGTTCCAAAACAGAGCCACCACTTCTCATGTGCACGGGGAATCTCTCCGAGTCTCGGTGTCCTCATCTGCAAAAGGGAGACTCGCCCCCGCCTCGCAGGGCTATCTTAGGTTTGGCAAGCACAGGCGAGAAACGCTTCGGGAGCGGGCTCTCAGGCAAAAGCTGCTTCCCCGCCCGCCCCTCTCCCCACCTCCGCAGAGGAGGGCAGAAGCCCCACAACCTGCAGGGGCCGACGACCGACAGTTGGGGGCCCGCGACCCACGACACCCTCGCTGGCCGGCTCCACTTACTTCTTCTCGCCTTCGAACAACAAGAATGACTCAAAAGCAGGAGGAGCGTTCATCCTAGCGCCGCAGCTGCCGAAAAAGCCTCGGCGGCCCACACCACCGTCTCCAAAACACCGTAACGCAACCTCTTCCGGGTTAGCGCCCGGGTTCGCCGACGCGCTTCAGCGGTCGCCGACGTGCCAAACCCGGGTGAGGACTGGGCCACTGCCCCCTACCGGCCTGGAGGATCTTGCGCAGGCGCTAGAACCCAAGGCAGGGACCGAGGGAGCCTGGTAGCTATCTGCAGGCTTGAGTCCAGACCATCCTTTCGTGGATGCGCATGTGTGAGTCCAGAGGTCCCTTCGTGGGTTCTCTTTGTCGTGTGTTTGGAGAGCTGGGAGCTGCTCTACATAGTGAGATAGCCTCGTCCAGACTAAGCGGCAACCCAGAGCTCAGCCTCTCTCTGCTCCTCACACCCTTTGTATCTTTGGAGGTGTGCTCTTGGCATAAGAAGCCCCTGAACGGAGGAGAATGGAGCCATGGATACCCCATGGGGCAGGTGTGGCGGACAGGGGCGGAAGAAGCCTCAGGGCTCATGGGCGTCCATTCCTTGAAGTAGATGGCTGGGTAAGGATAAGCCCCCTGCCAAGGCTGCCTGGGCGATTTGCTACAAGACCCTTTCCTGTATTGTACTGGTTTACCAAGTGGGTTTGTGGCCTCATGAGCTTCTTGTTATGGGGACAATTGTGTGAGGGCTGGGGCAGGAGGCAGGTATCTATACAGGTGTGAAAGAGGCTCTGGGAGGGATGAGTGCATTAATCCCAGTTTTGACTGGTTGATCTTATGCAGACTACAGATGAATATATAGGCCCTGCCGGAGTTAGAAACAACGGGACTGGAGTCTCAGATTAGCAACTGGAGTCCTAACAGCTTCCTTGCTGTTTCTTTTTTTTTTTATCTTTTAAAAAGATTTTATTTATTTATTTATTTTTAGAAAGAGAGGGAGGGAGAAAAAAGTGGGAGAGAAACATCAATGTGTGGTTGCCTCTTGCATGTCCCCTTCTGGGAACCTGGCCCACAACCCACTGACTTGGAATCAAACCAGCAACCCCTTGGTTCTCAGGGCCACACCACTGAGCCACACCAGCCAGGGCCCAGCTGTTTCTTTAGGTCTGGGCAGCAGCCAAGGAGCCCCCAAAGAAATCTGAGCTTCCACTACCATTTCCTGGGAAGGGTCATTTCCAATGGGAGCCTTGAGCCCTGGGGAGAGGAGAGAAAGTGTCACTCACAGGAGGCCCACACCAACCTTGACTGTCCAGGTCCAGCTGGCGGGCACCTCTTTAACTGCTGAGGAATAGAAGGCAATGGAGGTAATGATGCCCTGAGGCTGTAACTCACACCCTTCTGAGTCATCCTGGAAAAGTTTGGGTCAAGGATACGAACTTTGCTAGGATTGCCTGTGCCTGGACGTGCGGAGACTGGCTGACCTTTACTGGGCTAGGGAAGGGGGTAATTTTCACCCAGCAGGGTCTTCACCCTCCTTGCCACTATGGATGCGCCCTCTCTTGGTGAGTCCTGGTCATACTTGCCTTTTGATTTCCAAACCAACACGAGATCCCCAAAGAGTCTTCAGAGGCTCAATTTTGATGTGCCCCAAGAGGAGGCCAAGTGGCCATTCCCATCTTCTGATAAGATAGGCCTGCCTGGCACAACTGGGAAAGGGGCTGCTGGAACGAAACATTATCCAAATAGAAACAGATTCATAGACAGCAGGCTGACAGCTGTCAGGGATAGAGGTGGGGTACTGGGGGTGGGGATGGAGGGATTGGGGAAAAAAAAAACAACTCATGGATGTGGACAAAACAGTGTGATGATTTCCGGGGTGGGGAGGACAGGGTGTTGGGGAGGAAAGGGGAGAGGAGGTGGAGGCGGGTACAGGGAGAATATATGGTGGTGGACGGAGACTGGACTTGCAGTTGTGAACACACAATACCATGTACAGATGATGTGTTGTAGAATTCTGCACCTGAAAGCTGTATAATTTTGTTAACCACTGTCAATCCAATACATTCAGTAAAAAGGAAAATAAATTGCCCAGCCCTGGAAATAGGTGCAGGGCAAGGAGGGGTGCAGCATGCTCTGTCAGCACCCTACTGGGACACTGCTGCACCGGCCAGACTGGAGGTTATTTCATTGTCTAGGGCAGAGCACCTCCAACTGTGCAGGCTTGCAGACCAAGACTGACGCCTGTTTTTTTGTAAATAGAGTTCTATTGGAATAAGCCAAGCCTATTTGTTTACTCATTGTGGCTGCTTCTGTGCTCTGAGAGTAATTGTGACCAAAACTTCCATGCCTGGACCTTTTCCAAAAGTTTGCCAATCTGCCCTGACAGGTGTGGCTCAGCGGGTTGGGCTCCATCCCACCAAGAGAAAGGTTCTCCGTTTGGTTCCTTGTCTGGCCCAGTCCCTGGTTGGGGCGCGGGCAAGAGGCAACCAATCAGTGTTTCTGTCATCTCACACTGCTGTTTCCCTCCCTCCTCCTCCTTCCCTTCTCCTCTCTCTAAAAATAAATAAAATCTTTAAAAGAAAGAGAAAGTTTGCCCTGCCTGCTGTGGCTCGGTGGATTGAACACAGGACCATGAATAGAAAGGTCACTGGTTGGATTCCCAGTCGGGGCACAAGCCTGGGTTGTGGGCCAGGCCCCTGGCTGGGGGTGTGCGGGAGGCAACCAGCTGATGTTTCTCTCACACGTTGATGTTTCTCTCCCCCTTTTTCTCCCTCCTGTCCCTTTCTGACAATAAATGAAATATTTAAAAAAGAAGGAAAAGAAAGTTTGCCAATCCCTGATCTTGGGGGTTGGACCTGTGTTTGACTTTGATATTATTCGACTAGAACCCAGACATTGCAGTTACTTATGAACTTGCATATTTCTACCCTGTAGAGAACATCACAGTCTCATCCTAGCGTTGTTTTCTCAGAATGCTTACGAATGCCTCACTTCTCAAAATGTTCTGTCACCAGCTTTGCCACACACTCATTCTCTCCTTGATGTGTAATGGGTTTTTGGTGTGTGATCATTCTATATTTGTATGAGTCATTTAAAAATATATTTGAAAATTATACTTGGACAGGAATTCCCAGAAGGAAGTTGGTGGGAATTTGCCCAGGTTGCCTAGGGACAGGCCCAGAGGATGAGATGCACGTACCATGTGAGTGGGACCCGCTTGGCTTCCCAGGGTGTCTGCCTTGGGCTGACTGCCAGCTCCGGGGGCTCAAGACATCTGGGGGACCTGCCCCAGAACCCATCCTGAGGGGTGTGGTGTTGGTGGAGAATCCCCGGGCAGTGGAAAGTGACCTCTGGCGCTCCCCTGTGCCGTTGGCAGACAGGGGTCTTGTCTGTCCCTCTCCTTTTTCCCAGGTGGCTCCCGAAAAGAATGCAGCATCTGGGGCTGTGGGCAGCTCTGCTCAGAGCCCGAGAGGAGACGGTAGGGTGGGGGCAGTGCCAGGCACTCACTCATTTTAACTCCCCTTCCGGCTGTGATGGCCATGTCCACACCAGGATCCACTGAAGACGGCGGTGGGTGTCACCAGTGGGTGGCTGTTTGTGTGCAGTTAAAACCCAGAACTCTACTTGTTGCAGCCCCAATGAGTGCGCACTTTTCTTCCCCCTTCCTTCCCTGCACTGGGGCGCAGGAGACCTGGGGTCCACGCCTCCCGATCATGAGGCCCTTGAAACCCAAGAAGATCCAACAGGGGTGAGGACTTGTGTGAGGCTCTAAGGCGGCAGCCAGAGAACCAGGTGTCCCTGACTGGGTAGGCACGGGGCCCCAGGCCGCGGACCGGGAAGGGAGGGGTCACATAGCCCTGCAGAGAGACTCGTGAGGCCCATGGGAGAGTAGCACCTGGAGCCAAGCAGGGACGAGCATCCAGACAGTCAGGTTGGTAGGCTTCCTGTGGGGGCACACTGCCGGAGAAAAGGTCAACCCCAAAGCTACCGGGCAGAGGGAAGGCGCCGCCCCGTCCCTTCATCCCCCCACTGCTTCCTCTGCCATTCCTTCAAGAAGCCACTGGGCAGCCTGCCCAGATGGCCCTGCCCCAGGACCTGGTTGGTCATCTGGGTTAAGGGTCCTACCTGTGAGCCCACCCTTGGGGACTGTCCTAGGCCTAGTAGGATTCACAGGCCTGGCTCCGACCTTGGTTAGGTGAATTTTAAAGAATGTGCTGGAAGCCCCTGCCCCTCCTCCACCCTGTTAATTAAGCTGGAGGCTACCTTATACCCAGAGGCGGATCGGAACGAGGGCAGGAAGGTGATGACCAGAGGGAGCCCGGCTCTGATGGAAGGGTTGGCGACAGAAATGCTGCCAGTGCCCAGCCTTGTGGTTCAAGGTTCTGAACCCACCCTGCTGTGCAGGCTTCGGGACAGCTGGAGTCTGTTTGGGGGCCGCAGGGCAAGGGCATCTAGTGGGCGGGTCAGGCTCCAGAGCCTGTGGGAGATGGGGGAGTGGGACCCAAGGGCGTGGTGGGGACAGCAGCTTGGAGGAGAAAGGAGCCGCCCACCCCGCCCGGGAGTGGGGAAGGCAAGGAAGGGATGGGGATGCAGAGGTTATGTTGCTCCGTCCTTGACTGCCCCTACCAGCAGCCGCCGGGGTCCCCAAGCCCACCCCCTCTCCTCACCCCCCCATCACAAGACCCCGGAGCAGCAGTCACCACAGGTTTATTGTTGGCAGCAGAGCACCGCGACGCTCTCCCAGGGGCACAGCCAGTGGCTGTGAGGAGAGCGGGTAGAGTGGTGGCCGAGAGCAAAGTGGATGCTGAGGTCAAGACTTGGTCTCCTGGGCCCTGCGTGCCCTCCTGCCTCTCTGGGCCCAAGGAAGTGTCGGTCTGCTTGGGTATGGACCATCCAGGGGGTCTGCCCCAGGCAGGAGTGGAAGGTCCCTGGAGGGTCTGGGCTAGTGGTGGTGACGGACGGCTGCAGGGACCGCAGGGAGCAGCCAGGCCTCGCAGAGGAGCCGGAGCCCCCAGGTTCCCCGAGAGACTTCATATGGGCAGTGATGGGCCAAAGTCTTGTCAGCTCTGGATCCCCTGGTCCCAACTCGCCCAGCGCAGGAGAGACCCAGGCCCTGCACCCCAATGAGAGGGACTGAGGTGAAGAGCTGAGAGTG